GTAATGCTTCCTCCCCGACTGTTTGAAATCAAGAGGGAGACTACCAGTGCGGTCAGTGTGAGGGAAGGCTGCAGATGTCACATATTTTGGGACAATTAAGGTATTAAAAACGCAGTAAAAACATGGGGTGCAGCTTGTGTCAAAATCAAGTGGAAATAAACCAAATGTATTGAGTTTTGTAGCTTCAATTTCACATTTGTTCCACTTATCAATGGGTTTTGCAAAGGATTTACCATTAGTTGCTGGTCTTATCTTCAGTAAGTGTGGAAAAAAACAATTTTAACTTTTTTTTTTTTTTAAATGATAATTTCATTATATTTCTCTGGAATTCCTTTAGAGTCACTTTGGAAGTTTGTACATTTCATCTTTCCCATATTTCTCTCCATATTTACGTCAACATTTTCAGTTGTGCTGTTCATGTTTACACCTTCATTTTGCTGCATTGTTCATGACCATTAAACACAAACACAAAATGACAGTGAAAAAGAGTGAGCATATGATCAGCGTCACACATGCATGGAGTGCACGTGCGAGTGTGCCTGATAAGTATAGCAAACACCCTGGGAATAATAGTGGACAGCGGATATTATATGTATGCATGAGCATTGAGTGGTTGCTATTGATTTCTTGTGGTCTGCCAGTGGGATGTAAACACTGTGTCTTTCAACAGGACACTCCACTCAATACAAGCAGCTGTCAACGACTGCTACATGGAAAACATGGTGCACGGACATCCTCTCTGTTATCAAATCAGGACACAGAGCTGGAGACATATGGACTAGTGTGTGTGTTTGTTTGTGAGATCTAGATGTGTCACTACAGCGTGCAAACTTTTACACAAAAATAAGTGTTTTAAAAATAGAAACAAAGATGTTCAGTGGGTGGATAGAAAATGGATAACATTTGGGTTATTTCAGAAAAATGTGCTTAACTAGCTTCAAATGTAAAATGATTCCCTTCATACTTGGCGGTAAAGGATGAAATAAAACTTCTTAACTAAATCCCAAAAGATTTTAACATTTTGGAGATTTGTACATATGGTTTTCAACTGTCATTGGTGTAATAAAACACACACACACGCACACTCAAAGCATGTAAGCTTTCCTCTGAACAAGATCAAACTTCACTACAGAGATAATCCATGTGCCAAATCCAAGATGAATCTGTGTAATATTGATCCTGTTTGGACGTCACACACGTCCGCTAACAGCCCACGAATAACCGAACATGGAGGACACAAACACTCTGACACAGCTGGTGGATGACAGTGTGTGTGTGTTACTCGTTTCGCCTCTATTAAAATCCTGCAGGATTTTATCCACTCAGGTGAAGATGCTGGTGAGTGTCTTAGTACCCTCTCATCCCGACAAGAAGAGTCTCTGATGGTGCGTGTCTGATTTCAAGGCCTGATGCTCTTGTTTTGTATTTATAAAGAGTTGTATTTACATTAATACATTGAGTCAGTTTCTGCTCTTTCTGAGAGGAGAGTGTATTTGAGTTTAATATTTACCTGACTCAAGCAGACAAACATGGACGCAATAGAGCATAAATGAATCATAGATCCATATTATGTTTAATGGCTGACATGCATGATATCTAGAAAAGCAATATTTCTAAATTCAAACGAACAAGTAAACAGGTTAAGTTTGAATTAAAAAGGGGAAATGGACAAATAAGAAAAGGCTCTCCTATTTTTTTCTTTTTATATTTGGTCTCTCTTTGCAATAACACAATGTGTATGCTAACCATACAAACTGAGAATCTGTACACTGTGTTTTTTTTCCTCTACATTGGTATTGTCAGCAAGAGGGCTGTTTCCCAAAATGGTTGACATGCAAGTTACACAGAGAGAAATTGACCTCTGCAAATAAATTTAGCATGTTTCTCAAATGCCATTTCTTTGCCACAACCGATGTAAGAGACTTGGAAGCTTAACAACATTTGTGAAACAGGATGCTACTATCGTTGCAATACAAGCAGTCCACAGAGATCACTTTGTGAAACTGACTCTAGGTCAGCTGTTTTAAAGGTGAACACAATGAATCTATGCCAGTCTGATAACTATATATATATTTTTTTTTTTTAGCGTCTTATTTGTCCACTCTTTAGGTAAAGGACCATTCTCTCCTGACAGCCTCATCCAGGAGTATGGAGATTTACAAGTATCACAACACAAGGGCTCTTGAACATCTGGCTCTAGTTATTACAGCTTCCACTCAGCTTTGCCACCCCAGTAAGATACAAACGTACACACACATACACCCCATCAGCGTCTGGCCACGGTGTGTTTTGCCAGTCCACTCCTTGAGTTTCCTAACTTGTTTCTAGGCCGTTTTAGTTTCCACTTGGGCCTGCAGCGGGAAGCATCTCCCTGAGGAAAATAAGCAGGTCTCGCTCCAGTGAAGACATCTGCCCTTTGAGAGCGAGTGTGGCTGTTTGAACAGCTGTCAGTACACACCGTGCGTCTCGGACCGTCCCTGACACAACAGAGGCAAGACTGAGAGGGAAAAATCGAATGAAGAAAGACACTAAACCTACGGGAGGAGGAAACGTCCACAGCCGGTGATGCACAGCAGGTGTCCTACCAGCATGTTGTGTGGACAGAAAAGATGCTACCAGAGGACCTAAAGAACTTCTTCACCTGTGCTGAACTATGGAGCAAACAGTGCCTTGCATTAGTACACCCCCCCTACCCCCCAAATCTAAACTTTAGCAACATTTTCCACTGTTACAACCTTGAATTCTGACTGACTTATTTGAGCTAGTTTACTGTTTTCTAAAAACAATAGAACAGTCAAAAAAAGCAGATGTCTTTTAGATGCCAACCTGGATGCAAATGGCTGCAACAGGATCACCGTGAGAGGTTTTAAAGCAGAGGACTCCAAGCTTTTAATGCTTTATTGGCAAGTATATCATGTGATTGTCCCACCTCCCACGTGTATGGATAATATTGTATTTTTCCATTTCAAGCAATACATCTAAACCACAACATACAGAAACGTTCAAGGCGGGTGAATACTTATGCACTTAGGCACTTTGTCTTGTTTGTCTGCTGAAAGTCATGTGAAATCCAAAATGCTCCGATTTTTTTCAGAAGGTAAATTATATTTGTCCTTGGTCTTTGATACCCTCTAATTGGGCAGTCAGTTGCTACCTCCGGTTCTGAGGTCAAGGAAAGACAAAAGGAAAGTATTACCAATACATAGGTAGACTGAAACTGTAGAAATCAAACCAAAACACGCACAGACAGTCTGCAAACCAAACAAAGAAGGTCATTTCAAATAAGAAGAAAGCTTAAAAAGTATAAAAGTGCGTTTTATGGATTGGTTTTATACTTTGCACTTGCTGTGAGTATTTGCATTGGCGTTTCTACAGCAGCCTGCGAACAGCTCACTCTAAGATTTCAAGCTTAACACTTAAGACGTTTGCTCCTGAAGTGACTGTCTGTTACCCAGTCAAGAGGAACAAGTGTATGTCAGACTTAGAAAAGTGCCGGGAGCTCAATTGCATTAAAGCTCTTAGTTTGCCTGAGCTGCAATCTAATTGGATAAAGCTGGAAAAGCAGCTTCCAATGTGCTCAAATCCATTTTTTTTTTACCCCCATTCTCATTTTTTGGAAGAGATGCTCGCCATGTTCTATCCCATCCCAATCTTTTGTCCTTGTCAACATTCCCCAAATGAGATTCCCAAAATCAGGAGGTGAGGGGAGCACGCATGCTCGAGTGCACCGAGCAAACATTGTCAGACAGACACACCTCTCACACCAGCACGCCGCCTGGCATCTCTTTCCTTTCCTGTCCTTATTAAAATTCCATATTGAGATTCCTCGCTGCCACTCCGCCTCCCTGGTCCTGTCACTCAGCCACAGAGCAGCGACAAACCAGCAAGTTTCTACAAAGACGCACACACATATATGCATAGAGAAAGACACAACCCAAACTTTTCTTAAGACAACTTGTCCCTGCTCCCGCCCTTTATGTGTGGGATGAAAGTTTCCTTTAGGTGCTGTGTGTGAGAGCGTGTTTCAGCGTCTCCATCTCTGCCCCCCCCCCCACCTCCCCTTCTCATTGTCATTATTTTCGATGGTGTCCCCTCTGATCTGCCGAGCCTTTGGGTGCTCTCTCTCCCTCTCTGTCTTTCTCTGGTCCCTTTCATCTGTCAGGCGCTCCCTTTGGCGACTGCCACTGAGGGGGTTTGATTTCCCATCATGCCTAGCATTGCCTTCCTTGACTCTGGCTACCTCTGTATCTCTCCCTGCCACCCACCCCCCCCTCCTCTCCCTCTGTTGTAACCCTGCGTCGTCGGGCAATTATCCCCAGGAGTAATGAGGAGCGTCTCTCCCTTGCTGACTGACACCTCTCCCACTCATTTGTCAACAAATCAGACGGCCGGTGTGGGCGGCCATATTGAGCTGAGGGTTGTCGTCGCATCATCGCATCTCTCTCTCTCTTTCCTCCTCCATCCCTTCCTCTCTATCTCTGCCACCTCGTTATCTCTGACAGGGTGTCATTCGTTCCAAGTCTCACTCCCCCTGTGTCAACCCTCCACACGCTCGCATGTATTTGTGTTCCTCAGCTGCCGAGAAAAGTCAAACTTCCAATGGGCCCTAATGGTCATATGTGGCTAATGATCACTAAGCTGAACAAGTAACACTATTCATTTTATTTGTGTCAAAGAAAGCCTTGCCAGTGTAAACACTTTGTCCAACTATAGAAGATAAAGACGAGAGTGCAAAGGGGAAATGTTTTCAGATATGCTCACAAAGACTGCTTTCAATTTGTCGACATTATTCGCTGCAGCTGTAGAGGAAATGTAAATCTCTTCTGCAGTGTCATGTCAGGGCAAGAAAGGTCTTTGAGATGCCAATTAAACTCTGTTCATTTCCCTGCATGTTTTAAGCTGTGCGAGTGACTGTGTGTGAGCTTCAGATGTTAGCAGTGCCTGTTTACATATCAGATCATGTATCAGATTAGTGTGTCTGTGATCGAGGGTGTACTCACTGTGTTCTTTTCGCTCCTCCGGGCTTGACGAAGCCTCTCCATCAGACAGCAGGCCGGACATGGAGAAAAGCTTCCTCCCTGAGTCCTCCCCACCTTTCAGGGAGCCACCTGGAGAGCCAAAGTCAAACTCCTTCCCCTCTACGTCAGGGAAGCAGCTTTTCAGCCTCTTAGCCGGGGTGAAAGCCGAATGGTAACCCCCTGACTCTCTCTCTTCTTGTGGGGAGGAGAAAGGTCGAAAGGCGCCAACCCCGCTGTGGTTGAGCATGCTGAGGGTGGAGCAGTCCAGGTTTGGTGGGGTGAATTGGGGATGCAGGTGGAGCAGGGAGGTCGGGAAGTCTCGGGAGGGGAAGGTGCCTGACATGGGGCCCTGGCGCTGGTACATGGAGGTGAAGGTGTAAGAGGCGGAGGGGAACGGGAGGTGGAGGTCTTTCTCCATAGAGACAGGGATACCAAAGGGCCTTGGCGCCTGGCAGGGGACAGAAGCGTCTCGGCCAGCCTCTGCGGTGGAGGCAAGGACCATTAGGGCAGGAGAGGCCAGAGGAGCTGGCAGGTAGGAGGGGCTGTCCATCTTGAAGGGGCGGTGGAGGTCCATTCACCTCCCTGTTGATGGTCCTGAGGAGAGAGAGAGGACAGAGTTAGAGGGGGCTGGAATATATTAGTGAGTATGAAGGCTGCTACAACAGGACTCGAAAATATACCACAATTTGGTACAAAGGCATTTTATTTTAGTTGTTTTTTTCAATCAAATTTTACATTAAGAAATGAATTACTTTCCTCAAACCTTAAGTGAAATTCCATAATTGGTGTGTGAGCTGAATTATTAAAAAGATACAAGCTTAATATTGCCTTAAAAAATAGTTTCATTATTTTATGATTCAAATTAGAAACTCTTTCATTTTTTGAAAAACTACCATTTACAGCTTCTGAGACATTTATCCTGTTACAGTTTTGGACTAAATTCAATCGAAACGGGTTTGGGGAGGCCTCTGTGCCTGTAAATAATTACGACGGAATAAATAGCCAATAAAACACACACGTAGCTGAAGCCTGAGAAAGATCAATTTTTCAGTGAGTCAACCTTAAGACACGTTAGGGAAAATAACTGCCCTTCTTTTCTTCTTTGATAGGCTAAATTAGTTCTCGTAATATTCATAAATCACACCGATTGTGTCACAAATAATTAAATCCACGTTTGGGTAGGCTATACTTTAGGTATAAGACATTTTTAATCATTTCTCTTCTTACACAAAACGTGCACCAAACACCAATGAATAACTTTATGCTTTTGATTTTATTGAATTTAGATCATGAGAAAAAAAATCAACACTAATAGTTCAGTAGGCTCCATTTAAAAAGAGAGAGAAGAAAAAAGAATGGCAGTTCTTGGAGCACCGAAATCATTTATTTAAAATAGAGATCATTTTTAAAACTTTATTAGTCACCCTATTTTAATTAACTAAATTATGTTAAATCAACCATTAAAATGCGCACTAAGTTTCAGACCTATTGACTTTAAAGCACTTAACCGACAAATTAAAACTCTAATCATAAGAATTCAAAGTTGCCAGGACTTTTTACACAACCTGAAGGCGAAAATGACAAGATTCCCCCTGCTCATCTCAAAATCACACATTTCTTAAAGTCTTTTCATCGTTACAATCACCGCGGGAACCGGAGCCTATCCCAATGCGAGCGCAAGTTCACCCACCTCAGAAAACCCAACTCAAACAAAGTCCGACAGAACAAATTGGCAATCAACTAATTCAACTAATTCAAACAAATGAGGACGCTATCAGGAGTGTTGTCACTCCAGGACTTACCTTGGACTTAAAGCGAGTTTTATTTCACCGTCAACAACTCTTCTCCTCTCTCTCCAACAACTTCTGCTCTCAGGACGCGGCACTTTCCCCTGGTCGCGCAGAAAAGAGAAAGAAAGGCAGGGAAAACAGGTATCTGTGGGCAGCTTCTCTTTCCTTCAGTAGATGTTCTTCGTGTTGAGCAATGAGATAGCGATGTGGGGAGTTCAGAGAGGTGTTCAGGCGCTGCGTATGTGCGCACGATCAGGACATGAGTGAGCGGACGAGCGGACTGGCTGGCTGTGGGGTCGCTCTGTTTCTGTTGGTCTCTCCTTCCCGTGCGCTCCCTGTGACAACCCCCCCACCCTCAACTCTCCTCGTCTCCCCCCTTTCCCCCTGCCCTCTTTCTCTGTAGCATTTCCCCCACTTCCCCATGCGCGCTGCATGGGATGGACAACTTCAATCTCTTAACCTGGCGAGAAATGTTGGACTGATATTGATATATAAACAAAGTAAGACAAATAAAGTGTTCAGTTTTGTCAAAGGGGAAAATAGGACACGTTTTTGCCGTAATGTGCCGGATCATTAACTAATCTGTATGTTAGAAAAACCTTAACAATTACACCCGAAACACTGACCTCTTTGACCCACCATGTAGCCTATAAGGACAGCCCGCATTTTAATGACAGATTTCATGATTAAAGTTTAAATGAAGTGCATGGTACAAGTTAACCCACTTTAATCATTTCTTTACCTGTTTTTATATTGGCATCACTGCTTTGTTACTGTGAGCGTCAGGTGATGGAGTTATCCTCTTCTCACTGAGCCTGTAGTCTGCCATCTGTGTGATTGACACTTGGGAACATTCCCTTTTGATGAGACACAATGCAAACCAATGGTATTATTTGTCACTGATAATCTGCTTTCAACTCCAACACATTACACCGAGCGTTATATCTACATTATTCATATCTGATTTCCAGCACATTCGCAGAAAGCACAGCTCAGAGCGCCCCAAATCAGCCCAAATCACTCTTAATTTGTTTTTATCGGTATTGGTATTGCTTAAAGACTTTTTGAAATAATGTAATTGAAATAATTCCTTATTCCCCTAGGCCAATCCAGAGGCTTTACACTCCTAATCTAATGTGACACGCAATTTCCGTCTCTCAGACGATTGCTTCCCCTCAGGTCCCTGTCTTTAATGAACAGCCATTTGGCTGTGAGCCTGTGTGCATGCATGTGTGTGTGTGCAAGAAAGAGTCCTGAGATAGGAAATGAGTGAATTGGGAATTTCAAAGCTAAGAAGAAGAAGAAGAAGAAGAAGAAGACACAAGGAGGGAGCTGGAAATCAAGGGGTTTGCCATGCTGAAAATACCCTGGATAATTGGGATTTTGAAATAAATACTGACTCTCTTCTCTTCATTAGCAAAGATTGAAGAGAAACACCATTTCTCCTGGACAGTTCATCCACCCCAACATCGATACAGTGATTCCTGGGTTGAAGCTCCATGTCTGCCTAAAGACAGCCGCTTGGAGAGGAAGAGGAGGGCCAGACAGCAGATGCAGACTTTGACAAAGACACATCAGGAAGTGTCCAGACTGACTGTTTCAGTCCTGCCCTCGGACCAATATGGGAGCGAGTAACGCATGCATTCCTTGTGACAAGGCAAGGTCATAACTCCACCTAAAGACCCCACTCTCCCTCATGCATTGTTTTGGGGTCAGAGAAGCAGATGCCCCCGTCACACTGTCAAATATCAGATGAAATCTGTGCAACTATACCCGCTCTGGGCAAGGATAGCTTTTGATTCATTAGAAATTAACAAACAAAAGTAATGTGAGAGGATGGTTTGTATTCTCTGAAATAGAAATGTGAAAACATATCCTAATTGGCCTGCTTATCGGTGAAAACTCTCATTACAAGTGCCTCTATTGACATTATGATTATTATTTCTACCCTGTTCCTCCAATTTGGCCCGTGTGCTAGTTGCTGTGAGTGGTGTACAGTGAATGATGGGTGTGTATGTGTGTCCTGCAGGCCCAGTGAAGTGTTAATGATGTCCCTGCTGCCGCAGCCAGGTTATGGCACAGGGGCCGTTAGCCGCCCTGGGTAAACTACGCGGCTCCCAGAATAAATTGCCACCTGGAGCCACGCAGGCTGGTCAGCCAGCCAATTACAGGCCTGCCCGCTCAGCTGAGGATGATGGGATACGATGTTAATTGTATGTCTTCATTTTCTGGCAGGAAGTGAGTCACTTGGCCGTCTTCATGACTGTCAAACACGCACACATTCCTACAAAGAGCGCAACATCTTAATGCACGCTATGCTTTGGTTTTCATCTCTTTATAGCTTCAGTTTGCTCTGGTAAGCAGCATCACTTTGTTGTCTTTTCAAACTTGACAATATGTAGCTTTAAAGCGTTATCAAAGAATTTTAAAACATCCACAGTTTGCAGCTTAGTTTCTGTGGTCACAATTGTAAATCCAAACAAGGGCGAGATGAGTTCAAGCAAATGAAATCAACATGATGAGAGTTCTACACTTCTTTGATTACGATGCCAGGGGTCATCAACGGAGTCTTTTAACTTCTTACAATGCATAATTAGAGGAACAAACATTAAATAGTCTTGTCTTTATTATTTTACACTCTCCTGCATTCTTGTTTCCGGGGCATGGAGTAAACTAAGTTACTGTTGTAATCATTTCCACAGACCAATTAGTGACAACAATTACCTTTTTGCTTTGGGACTCACATGCACCAATTACAGCAGATTGCCTTCATACAATTTCTGCTAATGAAAACCAAAGGGAAAGAATATGCAGGAAAAGGAAATTCTATCTATTCTTTTAAGTGATTTGTATCTTCGGGAAAAGCAGCAAAAAGCTGAGTGAGTTGTAAAAACTCATGAGTTCCTGAGCAGTGGCAGTGTTGGAGATGAAGAGTGCTCAGTGCTGTGGAGTCAGTTGGGTAGTAGTTGTGCGTTGCAGTGCTCCACTCTCTTCAGTATATCAACATAGAGACAGTCTTGTAGCAGTGCTATGGAGAGAGAGGTTAGCTACTATATTAACATAGGGAGAGACAGCGCCAGAGCAGCGCAGTCTGCCAAACACCGAGCGGAGGAAGTGAGACAGAGAGAGAGGCCATCGACCAGACAGCTACAAGATGGAGTGGAAGGGAACGTGTGAGAGATGAGCTGTCGAACATGTGACAATGTGTGTGTGTGTGTGTGTGTGTGTGTGTGTGTGTGTGTGAGCGAAAGTGGAAAAGTGTGCGTGTTATTGTGTGTGTGTGAGTGTGACAGCTCCCCAAAGCAGCCAGCAAGCGTGAATGTGAGTAGGAATACAGAGAGGTGCATTATGGTCTCAATCATCGATCGCTTCCTCCCAAGGGGGCTGGTGACTGACCCTCACCAGACACACACGCACGCATGCACCACACACACACACACACACTCACACAAAACACACACACTCATGCACACATGCACACATGCACCACACACACACACACACACACACACACACACACACACACACACACACACACACACACACACACAAGGATCCTGTATGTTTACACATTCACAGCACACTTTTATTGGCGGTCTGATACTGTTTACAGGTACTCAACTTTGTCTCTACACTGCTGAAGTTACATTTCCTGAACCGAATACAGTTTCATCAACAGAGCACTGTGAGTGTAAGTGGTTGTCACAGAGGCAAAAATATTCAATGAAGTATAGAAAGCAAGCAATGCATGCTGTGTGACTACAGGGAGCATACTGTCCAATTATATCATAACTTTAAGAATATATTTTCCAGACTGTCAACTAATCCCTTGAAAAGAGTGGAAACATCAGGGTGTTACTTTTCCAGCCCTGTCAGTGACACTCTGCCTAAAGTCTGTTTGTCCATACCGGTGATGCAAACATTCTTATCAAGCGATACGTTTAGATACATAGAAATGTTGGAAAACCAGAGGACTTAAAATTATTCACTAACATTATTTTTTTGTCTCAACGGATTTTAAAAATGAAATAAAAATTATTCTATGCTAAACAAGGGACAAATTGGGATTACTGAACAACAATATGCAAGAGTAGGAGATAAAATCATTTGTACTACATGCACATGTGGACCAAATGGAATGGAGGCTCCAAAGTGACTTGACAGCAATCTGACTGAAAAATAATACAGGTGCTGAAAGAATAGTGCTTATCTTTAGTGGATTTGTCTTTGTCCTTTGGAACCTAATTTGTTAGACCCTCTCCTTAAAGATTACACATGCAACCAAAAATCATAAAGACTACTTATCCTGAGTTGTTAGATAATGTGACATTTATGTCGTTAACACAATCTTGCATGCAAGCCTTAAACTTTGTGCAAAAAGTGGTAAAGGCTGAATCTTCACCATTACACAAACAGAAATAAATAGTCCATTTGTTGGAGACTACTGTAGTTTTAGCAACATTTGACGTACAAGAGACTTAAAAACAACAAGACAATGAATGCAGGATTGATTTCTAATTAAATTGGGTGATTATGTTTGTTGAAGTTGTGTGATACTCGGCCAAATTGAGCTTTTCACAAATTAAAATTGTTTGATAGATGAATATGCGTCGTCAGGCACTGGCTGCACATGCAACGTTTTTAAGAGGTCAGATTTGGACTTTGATTTCCTATGCAGAAAGTAATAAAAAAAAAAGTAAAATGTCACAACCTTGGTCCTTTAAGAAAAATATACATGTAATGCAGCGGTGACTTTATGAGAAAGAAGCAGGAGTGAACAGCAACTTCCCCTTTTCTCACTTCTAACCTTTATCTTTAGGCACCCAAAAGGCGCAGAGTAAAGAGCAGTGAGGGCCTGTGTCCTCAACCCACCGCGGCGTTTCCAATCGACACACACACATACAAACAGAAACACAACGCTGCCCACCACCAAACATCGCACCCTGTCCCCTCCCCTCACATATCCAGCCAGCCGGGGCCCCGCGTCCCCTCTCTCCTCTCTTACCGCCACGAGGCTGACACTAATGTGACACTCTGGAAAATAATTACCAACAAACGCACTGCTGACTGCAAACAGCTCGCTCCCCTCAGTGGACTGTCAGTAGTCATTAGTTTAAACCCTGTGAGAGGACAGGACCATCGAGAGGAGGGGGGTGAGGGGATGGGGGGGGGGGGGGGGGGAGGTTGTAGATGATAAGGAGAACTATACCATGTGAGGAGGAAATAAAGAGAAGGAAGAGGAGAGCTGACAGGTGAGATGGAAATAATCTGCTTTACAATTGTAAAACATGTAAAACAGT